AGTTCTTTCTCTATTTTTTGTTTGAAATCTTTTTCTTTTAGTATCCTATTATTTAAAGTCCATCTAAATCTCTTCCGCTGTCCTTTCCAGATAACTACCATTGGGTTATGGTCGGCCCAAATACTTGTTTGTATTTCAATTTCTCGCATGTTAGCAAATAAATCCGCTGACATCCATATCATGTCAATTCTAGACCAAGATGCATGTCTGTCTGAATAAAAAGTATATTGTTTGTTTGCCGGGTTTCTTTCTCTCCATGCATCTTTCAAGTCTATTTCTTCTGTCATTCGAAGGAAGGATTTTGGCAATGTCTTCCTAGTTCTCTTTGTCAATTTCTGTGTTTTATAGTCCAATTGATCATTCATTATTCCATTAAAATCTCCCATCATACAGATGTTAACATAGTCCAATTCAGCTATTTTCATATGTAATTTCCTATAAAATTCTTCTTGATTGTCATTGGGAGCATAAATTGCAATTAAAAGAATTTTAACATTATTATCTATTATTTCAACCATCAAAATCCTTCCATCATCATCCGCATAGATTTGTTCTGCTGGCATTGTATCTCTAATATATAGGACCACTCCTCTTTTTTTACATTGTGCCAAGGAAGTAAATAATTCACCCAATTTTTTTTGCTGCAACAAATATTCATGTTGTTTTTTAATGTGTACTTCTTGTAGACAAATTATATCATACCCAAGGCTGCTAGAATTTAAAACAACACTCTGCCTTGTGAAATTGGCTTAATTCAAATAAGTACCATTACTTCTAATGCAGGAATGAAATGGCATTAGTTTAGTGCCATACTGCACATTGTACATATAAACTATCCACATTGCCTGGAATAACTAACCAGTCTTATTTCAGGCTAGCATATCGGGCAAGCCCAATGAATATCTCACTGAGTTCAATGAGTTTTATTTTCAAATAAATCTGTGCAAATTCACACTATAAGTTATTGCTGTGATTCTTCTGTCTGATTACAGCACACTCCTATGTTGATAAAGTCAGATGTAAGCTCTAATGGCAGCTTTTCCTCCAAAAGTGTATATAGGGATACAATTTTAAGGGTGTAAAAGAGATAAACACCCTAATTTCATATACTGAGTCTCAAGTTACTCATTAACAGGGGCAGCTAGCAGGCATACTCTGCATTTACACTTTAGTTTGCATTTTTCTGAGCTGAGTCCTGCATTGGAAACTACATCTGGCTCAAATAAGGCTCCTTTCTCACCTAAGTAAAATACTCTCATTAAATTTTGAGATAATTAACTATAACAGATCATGAGTTAAGAAAACAACAGCTATACATATGATTCAAAGGGCTAGTCAGGAGCCAGGTTGCATTGCTGTCACCTGCTCCTTTACAGGGCAGAGGTTAACTTTTCTGCTGAGTAAATAGGCTTTTTTTCTTTTTCTTTTGGCAGACATCTTGTATTCAGAATCCATTCCTGTCGACTCCGAAGGAAGTTTGCCTTCTCTGCCCCCATAGCAGCCCATCCTTATTCCTTACATTCACCTGAGAATGAAAAGCCAGGTTATGTCAAGGAAGGAGAAAGAGAATATCTTTCTATGGGGGTTTGGGGCCAGACAGGGCAACTTTTTAAATAAAGGAACTATAGTAATCCCCCTTATGCAGACACCCACCCCGCCCCATCAATGACATTCATCAGGATGGACCCACCTGCTTCAGGATACCCTTACGGTAAAAGGTACGAGAGCAGGGCAGGGCGGGGACATTCTACATCGTGAGTGACAAAATCTTACAGCTTGAATGCTCGGAAAATGTGATTTCCCCACGAAAACTAACAGTAGATTTAGGCACTTGCCGGGATACGAAGTGTCCATTCCTTTGATAGTAACTGCAAATGCGCCATTCTCATTTTTTCTTGCCACCCCAGAGGAGACACCCTTTATTCAGCCTATCTGAAGCCGCCTTTACCCCTCCCTCCTCTTTATCGAAGATTGCAACAAGACTTCTTTCTCTTTACGCTTTTGGCGTTCCGCTGCTCCTCACAAGATGGGCATTGTTTCTTCCGCGGTACGCGATTTGCGCAGCCCCGCGATTAAGTCTGCGGACCTGGGCAAAACGCTACGCCAGATGTCTTGCTTACTATGGTTTTCGCGTACGGCGATAGCGTAAGAGTGCGACGGCAGCGGAGCACATATGGTAGCCCTCCCCCGTGTTCCCGACACTCTGACTTAGTGCGGCGGGGCTCAAGCCTCGCGTTGGGAAACGCTCTGCAACGGGTGTCCGGAGCGGAAAGGGGCGAGTGATTCCCAATCCTCGGTTACGCTGCTTGCGTAGTAGGCTCTGAAGAAGAAATCCTGGGCAGCGCTTTTCTCCACCCGCTGCCTCTGCGCCGTTGACGTAGTATGCCCCAAGATGGCGCCGCGGTCGTCGTCGTTGGCGGCGGTGGCCGAAACGCTGGCAGAAGCTGCGGTGCCAGTACTGGAAGAGCAGAGAGAGGGAACAAGGCGGCGGGTGGACGGCGGCAGCATTTGTAGCGAGTAGCGGTGCAGAGGGGGCTTCCCCTCCCTCTCGGCCGTTGTGTGAGGAGGCAGAGACTTTCTGGGATAGCGGGTCCCCCGCCCCCTTCAGGCAGGGAGACCCTAACCTACCCGCGTGCGGAGCCGACACCCTTTTCTCGGCTCATCTCGCTGCTGCCTCCCTGGTGGGCCTTCCCACCCCTTTCCCCGAGCGGAGATGATGAAGCTCAAGTCCAACCAGACTCGAACCTACGACGGGGACGGATACAAGAAACGGGCGGCTTGCCTCTGCTTCCGCAACGAGAGCGAGGAAGAGGTCGGTGAGCCGCGTATAGGCTAGGCTAGGTTGGAAAGGGAGAGCCGGAGGGGAGAAGTGGCGAGGGGGCTGCCGAAGGGGGGTGGGGTGGAGAAGAGGCGGGGAACGCCGGTGTCGGGCAGGAACGGGACACCCGACATGAGAGAGGGGAGGTGTGACGAATTGGAGGGCTCTGAAGGGGGGGAAATGGGGGGCGGAGACGCTGGGTGGTACTCGCCGAAAGACGGAGGATGGGGAGAGGGGCGGAGCTTGTGAGGGTGGCTGCTCCCGAAGAATTAGTTGGCTGAGCAGGAAGCGAGTGTAAGAATGGTCCCCCGGTACCCTTTCGCCCGAGCTTACTAGCAGTTCCCTTCCTCGTCCGGCGCTTACAGATGCATGCTGCAGTTAGTAAGAGAGCGTGACGGACGGAGTTCCTGAGTGGCTAATACTACGAGAACACGCGGCTGTTACTAGGTGAGAAGTGACTCACAACAGTCCTTGGCGCTCTCCCCTTTGTGAATCGTTTGTGAGAGGTGCAGATACTTTTGGGCGAAACAGCACTCTGTGTAAAAGACCGTACTCCTCCCCTCCCTTCTCACCGAGGGAACGTGCGCACTGTGGACAGTACTGATCTCCTACAGTACAGTAAGATACTGTGTTAATGCTAAATACTGTAATGGCTTTGAAAGGCTTTCTTAGGAGTCATGACGTCTTACACATCACTTCTCAGAAATGTCACATGTCTGCCCAGGAGAAATAAGAGAGGAATTGCATTTATCGGGGAATTATAATTGCATTTTTCTTTAGTACCAATAAGTTACGCAGTATGATTCTTTATATGTTGATACAGTAAGCCATATATGTTTCAGTACAGCTTTCTACCAAATGTGTTTGCATATGAAAGGGGGTGATGCATAGAAAATACTGGCATTAGAAGTTGCTAAAGAGGAGAGGGAGTTATTTGTTACTGTAATTGTTAAATTTTGTTAAAACTGTGGTTGTTACACATATGCCACAAGTAGACTGCAGGATGGCAAAGACTGCTTGAGTGAGGAGCAGGAATACATTTTTCTTTTAAAATTATGTGAAACATCAAATGAATTGATTCCATCATATACACATTTTATAGTAAAATTGTGCTTGCTTATAGCTGTTAAAAATCAGAAATAGCAACCAGCAAAACAATATTTTATGGAGTAAGAGTAAGGTTTTTATTATGAGAATAACAGGAAAGAGCAAATAATATGTCTTGGTTTTTAGAACCTTTTAAATAAACTCTCTTCAGTGTAGGAATATTTTTGAAAGTATACAGTGGGGCAAAAAAGTATTTAGTCAGCCACCAATTGTGCAAGTTCTCCCACTTAAAAAGATGAGAGAGGCCTGTAATTTTCATCATAGGTATACCTCAACTATGAGAG